CAGCTCGAACAGAGCTCTCTTTATTGTCACCGCCACCATCAGTTCGCGCATGGCGCCTAGTCGATTCATGCCTAGTGTTCGTTGCAGATATAGAGAAAGGAACGAAGGGAATTCCCCATCTTCTCCTAGAGTGATAGGACACTGGAAATGTGAAAATGTACGTTGCAAGAGAAGGATTAAGATCCCACTCAGTCGAGAGAAGAACACACAGAGCAATGAGAACGGATTGCAAGCTGGTACCCCAGAAGACTATGACGTCCGTTATGATGCTGTGTAAGTTTTGTTAGAACGCTACACAACACTACACTGCGCTTATCTTATTTGGCCTCAACCAACTCACAAGGACAGAATCTGATATAGCATTTGCACATATGTCGCCTCGCAATCATCGCCATCATAATTATTATATATATATTAAATCAGGTTCGGCCTCATTTCCTCTGTGCTGCGCTGATGAGTTCAAAAAGAACGAAACAGCATGCTGTCCGCAGATTGAGTATTTCGCTCCTGCTCTTGTAGCAGTTGAGCACTCTTGCGTGGGGTAGTGCCTTTGCTGTTTGCGTTATGCAGAGCTCACTGACTTGTCAGTTTGAGCACTCTGGCAAGGTACGTTCGGGCCTGATTGGAAATTTTTATTTCCATTGCTATCAGGTTCGGCCTCATTTCCTCTGTGCTGCGCTGATGAGTTCAAAAAGAACGAAACAGCATGCTGTCCGCAGATTGAGTATATATAATTATGGTTATTGGGCACCATTGCCCATTTGGTCTGCGATACAAAAACTAAATCTCCACAGCATCAACAAACGCACAGAACGAACAAAGTGATACGTTTGTAGTGACCATGGTGAGGGTAGTTTCCTTTTGCAATCAAATGGGACAACACAACGTTTTCAGATATCAGCAAGAACAGGTACCCAGCAACACTCCACGACAGCAAGCAGTCCTCTCGACAGGCTTGTTCCGTGAGATCATAGGAATTTATCCGAAGCCAGCAGAAGTTGCATGAAACGGCTAAAATAAGAGTGTAGAGGATTGCAATGAACAGAATCAGCTGAAGCGTCATTCACGACGGTTTTATTAAGGTTTTAAGGCTTTAGAGGGTTGTTTCATATTTATATGTTGTTCCTTTGAGTGTTTGATTGTTATCTTGTCACGCACATGGAATCTTGCAAGAATACCTTGTGATACTTTTTTTAAAGAGTCGGCGTGGAGTAAGCAATTTTATGAGTGCAATAAAGAGTATAATAGATGCAGACATGGCCGGACAACAACGAGTTAATGGCATTGTTTAGGTGTTAATTATGACTATTCATCCTTACTATTGGTCTATGTTGCATTCAATTTTGTTGATCGGTTGCTTCCTGATGAGCATTGTGCGAAAGCTAGTTAGATACATATTCTATTTTTCATCGTTCCTATTACTGTTCTTCACATCACATTTCCATCAAGCCTAACCTAGAAGCCACTGACAAGTTTCTTTTTCGGGACTGTTTTAAGTTGGCAGGGATATTTGATCCACTGCCTGCACCTCGAAGCAAACCAGGTACCTCAACACAGCCATATTACTGTAGTTGTTTTCCTTAATTAATTCACAATGGTACGAAAGATTCTTGGGTCACAAATTGTGAATCGTAACTTACGACTTTCGCACACAATGCGTAGAGGATGGTCCGCGAAAAAGCCATGATTATTCGTAGACCAGTGTACGTGCTTTCCAGTGAGATGGACGTAACCACGGCTGCGAAGCCACGCAACCTTGGCCGAGTTCAACTGGAGTCCGACTCTGCACTGTGAAGCAAATGTCTCCAAACTCATTACCTTGCCATTATTCTCACGGCATACTTGCCCCGCAGTTTCATAGTCTACTCGTGCCTGGCCCTCTCGGAGGACCGCTTGGGTAGCGGCACAGAAATGATAGCCCACCAGCGTGTTGCTTACAGCTGTGTACAACAAAAATGAAACATCAACACGAAATATCACTGCCGTCCATCTACGCACAGCCCATTATCTTTGCCACCTGGATCTCACACTATATCACTCTACGAAGGAGAATTTTTTAAATTTCTCCTTTTTTTAAATTTTTTACACCTAGCCACACAACAATAATAACCTAGCATGCACATCAGTGCACGTTCGGGTTGGCTGGCACTGGCACTCCGATCTTCACCCAGCAAACATAGTAAAAAAAATTAATAAAGCGATCTGCAGACGACTTGCCAAACGGAACAGTCGTCCGGGGGGTCGGTTGTAACGCCAAGAGTCAGAAAGGGAATCGTCAGAAAATTCGATTGTTGCATAAAAGCATCTTCTACAGAGCTGTAGGTGGTAAAGCCTAATTCAAAGGTTAGGGCATGAATTGTTCCAAACTCACCAGCATCAGCGAGCAGGGCATTGGCCAAAATGGCGCAACAAAGGATCCCAAAAACATGCCGCAGTGCCATAGTTGGTGAAGAGCCTGAATAGGAACAGGAATACGACACGACACAAGTAGAAGAGGAAGAATGGGTTGACTAATTCATTGCAACTCCAAGTCCCTCCTCATACACACAGACACGCGCGCACGCACGCACGCACGCACGCACTGCATACATGTACACATGCACGCAAAACACAAGCACACACATAATGCATAGCAACACAAAAGAGGTTGTGGCAGTGAACATACATGCATATGCCTGAACTCTGATACATGTGCTCGCATATGAAGACCCAAACAAACACCGATCCGGGTACCCTATGGTATCAGGCTTGATAATGGATGAACAAGAACACAAACAGCAGCTGATGAACAAGCAGACGTTAATAGAGGACAGGAGTATGCTTACCGAAGAGTCCTGGTCTAATTGAAGAAATAGCAGAGAGAACTACCGTTGAAACCTTTCCTCCAGTCGCCTTGATCCAAGTGAGGACAGAGAAAGAACAGGCTAGATTTTATTCCTTACAATCATACGGCATGAACTTAGAAGTTTAGTCATCACACAGCATTGCAGCGAATTGCAACCAGCTTCACAGGATCGTGATCTCCCCGAGTGCTTTCATAGATCTCAAACACGCTCAAGAGGTGTATTTTGCTCCCGATCCGAGGGAATAGTGTCTGCGGAGACTAACTCTGTCAACGAGGTCGGGGTGAAGCCAACACCTACCCACTGGCACACAGGGGAATTGCTCTCATACTATTGCAACACTCCATGCATTGTCTCGTTGGCCTAGGTTTCCTCCCGGGGACCTTTTGTGGATCTCATATCTGTTCCTTCGAACTATAGCTTCAACGCCAGTACTTATCCTATAAGAACGCGATCAACAACAATTTTCATTATCACAGTGCCCCCGTTTCATTGGGGCCGATTATACTTATGCTGTCATGGCTGCTTTGATAATCCACTGAACTAAGTGATGAAATCAGCGACAAAAACAACAAATTAACGACAACGAAGGGTGGAGCAGCATTGCGCTAGCTGCGAACAAAAGTGGGTGCACCGCAAAGAGCACAGCAGAGACGTAAGTGTGGAAAGAAAAATGCTTACCAGTAAGTCGTTGTCTTGGACGCAACTTGATTAAATACGAGAGAGGCACCGAGTTGCAACCTTTCCTCGAGTCGTCTTGAGCGAAGTGAGAAGATGACAAAGAACTCGCAGATTTTCTACCTTACAAGAATACAGCATTGCGACAAATTGCGCGTGGGTTCGTGGCCTTTGACGCGTCCCCAGGAGCTTCTTGTGATCGCAACGACGGTCCATAAGTCTATTTAGCTTCACATCTAGGGATTATAATCGTTCCGAGGGGACCCGCTTCGTGACCGAGAGTCCGGTCGATGTAACGCCCATCGCAGTAAATCGCTCTCGCAACATTCCTGTACTTCTTACATGACCTTGTGGGGCTAGTTTCCTTCGCAAGAGATTCTTGTGGATCCTGTTGCGTAAAGCTTAGACAGAGTAAGCATTCGACCCGCTAAACCAGGATACTCTGCGGGGATCCCGGGGACCCAACTAGTACTTGGTGACGTAGAACGGACCGAGGAGCCGATCTCGGACTCGGGCCTATCCCCTGAGACGACTAGAGAGCGCGCAACCCTGCGAAGTACGGCTGGAGCCCAAATCAAACCACTTACAATGTACCAGTCCATATTTGCATTTGAAGAGGCCTGGAAGCCTATTGTCTATCCCGAGATGGAGCGAATATTTCGTACCACTCACCGTGACCCTATGGGCAAAACGCATTCTCTGCAGTTGAAGTATTACTAATAGGGCCGGAGAGAGCCTGATGCAAGGGTGGGGTGGACGATGAGTAGGGTGTGGTGACTAGGCCGCAGGTTGTGGTGAGGTGAGCGGTTTTGCTTGCCAAGTAAAGGTCTTGTTGTTGGTGTTGCTGCTGCTGCTGTTGCTATTGTCGCCGTCATTGCTGTTGTTGTGCTTTCAAGTTTATAGCCGTTCAACCAAACAAGCATCTTGTGCGGAGGTACATGATTGTACTGGGCGGGGGGGGGGGGGGCGGGGGTGTGTGCTACAAGTGCAAGTACACTTTGCACATTACCTTTCAATTCTGTCTTCACAGCAGGCTCTGAGCTGCGATTATTGTTTTTGTCCCAACATGCATATGCCACATTTTGAAGAAAAAATGGTTGAAAGTCTAGACTAGAGGAGGGAAGGAGGCGCTAGGGGGGGGGGGGGGGGGAGGGGCACATATGCCCACGTGCCGTGCCCTTCTCATACTAATCATAACATTAATGATACTATACGCCATGCCTACTTGCAATCCAATCCTGCTATGCGCTGGAGCTTCAAATCACACCGGTAGCTAGCCCGAGTCTTATCGACCACGCGCATCCACGCTTTAGGTTGACCAGTAACAGAGGGTAATCTGATGCTCGCCCATTGACATTCATCACCACTACATCTATGGTCACGTGATGTCGACCATGTCGGTTCCACTGTCCACATCAGGGAGTAGTATTACTAGTCATAATCTTACTACTCCTTGGTCCACAACTCCACATGCAATGATCACTTTCCACACAAATTTACTTTCCAGTAGTCACATAATGAAGGTGTGAGCATCGCGTATTACCCAAAATAGCCAGCAAAACGCTGCTAAAACAAGCGGTAAAACGCTGCTAAACAAGCAGTAAAACGCTGCTAAAACAAGCAGTAAAACGCTGCTAAAACAAGCAGTAAAACGCTGCTAAAACAAGCAGTAAAACGCTTCTAAAAACAAGCAAGAGCAGTGCAGTGCATGCAGGCGAGGAGCAGATTTCCAGCGAAAAATATTTTCCAAAAATGAATGCAGAAATTCTGTGACGAGTCTCAAGTTGCTCTTTAACGGATAGTGTGTGCGGCAATACCATAGCCTTAGTTAAATTTGTGCAGGTAGTCTGAGGTAGAATTAGAAGAGCTCACCAGACATACATCACCTACTCCACTTTTATGTTTATGTATCTATGTCATTCGGATCTTCCCAAGTTGTACAATGTACTGTTGAGATACCGAATTCAAATAAATCAATACCAAAAATATATATATATATATCATCAAAGCCAAACAGGCGTCAAATTCTCCAAATTCCTAATGATATTGTAATACAATATTACTAGTACAGGCAGTATAGAGTTGGTGTTGAGACATGTGTGTACTCACTAACAATGCCTTGTTGCAACCCGAACGGTGGATCAGCCTAGTTGCGCAGACAAAATCCTTGGAACAGGAAGCCCACTGGAAGCAGATGACTCCCCACTGAACGCCCAGTATCATTGAAACGGAGTTCTGTACGTACTGCCGAGAGCTAGCGTTGCCAGCATTGCAAGCGCTACCAGCGTTGCCAACGTTACCAGCGTTACAAGCATTTCCAGCGCTGCCGGCGTTACCAGCGTTACCAGCACTGCCATACAGCACAACGCACACATGTTGGAGTACAATACTGACAAGATGAAAAGGTTACATTGAAAAGTTGGCCAACTGGCACAATGAGCGATGAGTGATATCAGAAAGAATCAGAAATCAAATGTTAAATAACGCTATTCATCGCTCTCATATAGGTCTTGCCTCCACGCTGCCTATTCGTCTAGCGATAACGAGATAAGATAAGAGATCAGATAAGCTGCAAAGTAATCAATGTTCATTCACCAGCACTGGGAAGTTGCGTTATGGTGACGGGAATAAACATAGGCTATCCGTGATTAGTCAGCCTGAGGCCGAGAAGCTCCTGAAAAACAGCAGCTGGTAGTGCGACGATTTATCCGAAGGCAACTGAATTGCAGATAACGATGTAGAGAATTCGCCTCTGGCCGGGCGAGTGAGAAAAATCTGTGAAGATATGTAGCGTGCATGACCAGCCAAGCAGTCAGTTCAGCTGCTAAGCATAGCCATCTCGGACTCGCGCACGTGTTATCGCTAGGTCGGGCGTGAAAAGCGAATCGTATTTCTCACTCCGACCACCATGTCACGAGATCGTTTGGTACACGCAACATCATCGCCAACCGGCCTGCTCTGGATGGATGTTATGCTGCACGGCGACGCCGACAGTTACCAAACGGCTTATGACACCGCTGGGAAGCAGCAAATAACTTCTCCATTGTGTCCGCATTGCACGCCTCCCAGAAAACAACGACCGGCTCTAAATCCTGAAGGAGAACAAACTTCTCGGCCGCGTCTTCGCTGACGGTAGCCGAGAAATCTTGATCTAGTGAATCCATGGGTGTGGGAAACGGGCCATTGTCGTCGCCGGAATGTGCAGTGCTGCTGCTGTCTACACCCGGCGATGGAGAGCGTCTGTGCGCTGATGTGCTCCCTCCGTGCACAGCTAACGACTGGTTCGTTGCTGGAGACTTTGCACCGCGCAGACGGTCAAACAAACTCAACTTCCCAGCGCTGGCTGCCGCTGCATCTTGATGTGGCTCCTCACCCCCACCCGGTGGAACAGTGGGGTATTTGACGAGAATGAAGCCGTCGTCTTCCACGTCGGCACGTGATGCAGTACTGGACTGGTGGCGGGAAGTAGACATGGACGAACCTCCAGAGTCGTGCCGCCGTATCCGCGACGATGGTGGCGACGGTGTGGTGGGTATTGCGCGAGAAGCTGTGACGGGCCGATGACGCTCCGCATCGCGTGACGCCTGGCGTGACTGATTCTCCTCAGCTGGTGACGTTGGCGAGATCAATGCTGAGTGAGTCGGCTGGGGAATCCCCTGCGCATGCGGTGCAGTGCTCTCCACATCGGCCAATGGCAGCAGACCCGGTTTTGGCTTGTGCGTGAGAAGCGACGATGAGTAGGACGAGCTGCAGGTAGTGCTGCTGCTCAAACGGCGACCATGAGACGAGGACTCCCGGTCGCGAGCAGAGACATGACCGTCAGTTGAGCTGTGTTCGTTGACAGCTTGTAGCGCATGTGTTCCCTGTCCTGGCAGGAGTCGTGAAGCGGATTGCCCAGTAGATGGGGTCTCAGCTGTACTGCCGTGTTGTAGTTCATCACGATGTACAACTCCGTCAATGGACCTAAGGCGTGTGGTAGTGCCGTCAACGTCGCCGCTACCCCCGGCAACAAGATCACGGGCGTCGGCTGGTGATGTGACGTGTGTCGGCTGGGTGGCTGTTGATGAGGAGATCTCGGCTACTCGGCTTTCTTCCGGGCAATCAGTTCTTGGACTTGGCCGCGTTGGTGTTGTGAATTCCGATGGCTCTCTGTCTGATGATGTTGGCACAGGTTGCTCTATGCACGTGATGTTCCCGTCCACACTATCTCTATCACCTGCTTGCCTGCAGTTAGAGTCATCACTAGCTAAACATGAGACAGTGTTGGTCGTGCATTCCGCCGCCGTGGCTTGGCCGTCAGTCGACGTTTCTCCTTCCCGCTGTGCCGGCGCTGGTTGATGTGTGCCGCGGGGGACTCCTGTTGCTATGGATACACCATCCAGGGGATGATCCGCAGGCACTGAGGAACTGTCGTGCGTAGCTTCAGCAACGGTGTCAGCGGTGTTGTTGCACAATGCGCCGCCAACTACAATCTCCCGGTGGTCGGAACACGCCGCCGCCTCACGGGACAAAACAAGGGAAGTTTCCTCAGGGGCGATGTTGCCAACATCCTGCGTTGGTGGTTCATCAGTCTGAGCTCTCACTGGTTGTTCATTGACTTCATTGCCGTCCAAGATGGGTTGCGATGGTGATGGCATGTCCGACGGTATCTCAGAGGCAACAGGCAACAACTGAGAATCTCCCGGGATGGTGTGCACGGTGGACACCACCGCAGGTGTGGTGAGCCTTGCTTGGCTCTGAGCTCCATCAACCTCATCATGGCCGTCACCGCTGGAAGTCTGCGACGACGCTGCGAGCAGCGCGAGATCTGCAGCCATTGCGGCGGCCACACCACCAGAGCCTGGCAAGCCGGCAATGACAACACCCTCAATGGCGTCGCCGATGTAGTCGTCAGCGTTGGGCGTGGTGTGGCTGGTGTTCACCGGCTCAATATCATACATGCCGATACTCCTGTCCGGTGGAAACGTTATTCCAGTGTTTATCACACTTGTGCTAAGTGCCGTTGAGACGGTAGTCGTGGCAACAGGCCCGGCAGGAACATCTACGGCAAACGCCCTGGCAACGGTGATTGCTGGAGACTTGCTGCCTTGCGCGCTCCCGCTCTCCCTCTCGCGCCCGGGACTGGCGGGGGGCCTGTCCGTCCCGGGTGGCTTGCCGCCAGGGGATAGGGCACCGGAGTGCCGCGAAGACGCGCCCATGGCGACGGGCGCATGGGTGATAGGCCGGGTATGTTCCCGGTGACCTCGTGGTGACCGGGTTGGATGCGAGTAACCACTGGCAACGCTGCTGCTGCTGCCGCCACCACCACCATTGCCACCAATGCGGAGCTGCTCGGCGAAGTCTTCCGCTGCCTCCACGGAGACAGGCATAGCAGCGGCGTCCGAGCCTGCATCACTATCCGTTTCGTCGTCTCCAACTCCAAACAGGTCTCCTAGCGTGCCGTGTGCGCTAGCGCCAAGCATCACCTCCGCCGAAGTCGGCCGTGCGTCCACGCTATCGTGAGCTTGCGACGAGGCCGTGAATATACCCTGGAATCTCTGCCTGCGCGTACGCTGCTTGGCTCTGCCCTGGGACAGCGCAAAGCATCCACTCTGATCGAAGAGCGGGCAACCCGTACCGCAGGACATGACCACGCGGCCGGAGAAGCCACCCGTGGAGCTCAGGTCCGTTGCCATCAGCTGCGATGTCGGGCCGCTGTGCGTGTACAGCCAGCCAAGGAACTCGGGCTGCTGGTGACGCAGCTCATTCTGCTCCGACGAGTCTTGGCTGCTGAGATCGCGAGGATCGCGGCGCCGATGAAAAGTGCTGGTGCGGGTCAATACGACTCGCTCTGCTTGCTTCAGTCGATAGAGTAGCACAATGCCAACGCTTGTACCGACCCACATCACATCACCTTCCACTACGAGGGAGCGGACACGCAGTACATTCTCGTCCAGTTCGATGTTCTGCGGTAGTAGGGGCTGAGCTTGTGGTACGATATGCCGCCATTCCCCCGACATGTCAACGATCAGGGCGGGTGACTGGCAGCCACTGTCCTCAGTACCTCCATTGGTAGGTGCTGGCCGGCTGGCGGATGCGTCATTGGCACTGAACCGCGATGTGGAGTCTAGCCATGCGACCAGGTGAAAGCTATCACGGTAGGCCACCCACACTAGTCCATGATACGCTGCGTGGCACAGCGTCAGACCACGCACGGAGCTCGCCTCCTCCAAGGGCATCGATAGCTGCACCTCCTTCTCATTGCGACGACTCACGGACAGAATGTGTACGTCCCCGCGCTGTGACAGGCACCATAGGCGTGAGTCATGCACGATGCACAACGCCACCAGCGGGCAGTCGTCAAGGCGCAGAGCACGGTAGCCATGACGACGACCCTCATCGCTGCGACGCCGATCGCGCGGGAACATGGCCAGGAGGCCGTTGTCGAGGGCGACGAAGATCTGTGACACGCTGGCAGCCATGCTGAGGGGTTTCCCCGGCACGGTTATACCATCATCGTCACAGCTCAGCGGGAACGTGGAGTAGTCGACGACAACGAGTTTGCGACGGTCGGTGCCGATCCAGAGTCGGCGAGAGAGTGTGGATATACATGCCGACAATGCCCGACCGCCTTCCACGTCAAGGTCACTCTCCCTGTGCATCTGCTTGCCTGGCAGGTCTGGGTACGTGGACGCCAGGACGTCCTGGGTTTGGCTGCCTCGGATCGGGCCCATGCGTATACGCGTTCGGTTGACGCTGTCGCGGTGCACCGTGATCAGGTACTGGCCACGTCCAAAGTCTGCACTGGGTGGCGTGATGACAAACGCATTGCGCAGGCTCGTGTCCAGCTCAAACTGCACGCAGTCGGTCATCAGAAGCGACTCGGGCTGCGTGAGGTGTTCGTGCAGCGAGGTGGACTGCGGTCGCAGGTGCACCTGTTCCTGCCAGCACGCCATGGCTGTCTTGCACTGCAGGTGAGCTCCGCAGTGCGCCACACTGATGTCTGGACGTTTGCCGGCACGTATCGCGGCCATGATCGGGCCCGCCTGAACCTCGCTGAACGCTTTCCGGCCCGTCATCAGCTCGAACAAGAAGAGGCCGAACGCAAAGACGTCCACCGGGAATCCGTACCGCGCCCCGCTGCACTCCAGCTGCGTCTCCGGCGCCTGGTAGTTCCTGGTGCCGATCACCTTGGCAACGCCGGACTGCGGGACCACAATGGACGTACCAAAGTCGGTCAGCTTGACGTGCGGCCGGTCGCTCAGCTCCAGGCTGTAGACGAGCACATTACCGCCCTTGATATCCCGACTCACAATACCGCTGGTGTGCAGAGCACGGATACCTGACGATACCTCCGCCGCCACCACAGCTAGGTACGGACGTGATAACTCATGATGGCGTTCCTCCAGTATAGTGTTCAGAGAGCCGTACGGTGCCAGCTCCAGCAGCAATGTCATCGGCGAAAGGCATATGCCAAACAGGGAGACGAAGAACTCGGTGGCTGGATGCCGGGGCTCGTACTGGGCGTCGAAGATGCTGTCCGTCTCATCACGTGGTCCTGTGTTGCTGCGGCTGGTGCTGCGCCTGGTGCTGTGGCTGCCAATGCTGCTGTTCGCGGAGCTGAGGTCTTCGCAGTGAAGTGAGAAGTGGTTCAAGACTTCAATCTCCCGCCGGATATCACGGTAATTGGACAGTACCTGAGTATGTACATACGCATCAGTGCAAGCATACGCATGCACACACGAATGCAAACACACGCACACATACGCAAATGCACATTCACATACACGCAAGTCGTCAGGCACGCCCACCCTTCCGCACACACACACACACACACACACACACACACACACACACACACACACACACACACACACACACACACACACACACACACACACATACACACACACACACACGTGTGCTCATACACACACACACATGCAGATACATACAGACACACACACGCACACATACACACACACACACACACACACACACACACGTACACACACACACATACGCACACACGCACACACAAAGAACAAGAACGCTTAGCTGTGTTGCAAGCTCCATAGTATGAACTGCAACCAGTGCAACAAGTGGAATAGATCAGAACGGCTCTGCTTCGCATGAGCCACCATGGCATCACCCACATTAATAACATTAACCACCGTGGTGTCAAACTTAAACCATGGTAGAGGGACATAAATACCAATGGCAATGGCAATGGCACCACAGTATATAAAACAATGACACCTATGCAGAAAAAATGCTGCCGCCTTTTTGCGAGGCAGCTTGTCCCATATTAGGCAGGTACATCCAGCCCTGCTGCATCTGTGAGTATGGCCATACACAGCTCATGACCTGCTATGCAGGACTGGTATCACAGTGTGTGTGTGTGCGGTTGAAGTGGACTTGACCCGCGAAACCAAACAGCGGGACGACTATGCATAGTATCCCAAAAGAAAGGATACGGATCCAAAAACTACATTCATCATTTTGCGAGAACTGTGGCAATACGCCCAGTGAGAAGGCAGATTTTGCCTGTGCTACTGGTGAAGTAAAACAATGCTAAACAAACAAACAAACAAACAAACAAACAAACAAACAAACAAACAAACAAACAAACAAACTACAGCTCACAGATTCCGGCATACTTACATCCGGAGTTTCATTATACTGCTTGCATGCCACCACCCGGTCTTCGCAGTAGGCAGCCATGACCTTTGCAAAACCACCGCGACCAAGGAGCTTGCCTTCTTTCTCCTTGTGGTCGTGAACGGAGATGATCTCGTCGGCGGTGAAGCGATATTGAATATCCACATCCTGTAACGTAATGTAATGTACACAGGCAGGCGAAAGAACACCCATGGGTGCAAGCGTGCACGTGCATAAACATACGTATATGCTCGCGCACGCACGTACACACACACACACACACACACATAAACACGCACACACACACACATAAACACGCACACACACGCACACACACGCACACACACGCGCGCACGCGCGCGCACACACACACACACAAACACACACATACATGGACACACACAAAAGAGATAGCATGCTATTTCTGATTTAACCTTGGTACAAAGGTCACCCACTACGCAAAAATTAGCCATCACCGCACTACTAGATCTGATTTCCACTATTGACATAGAGGATAAAACGGAACTTTGCGAGTCGCAATGTTTTCTCTTTGGCGATCATCTCTAGTTGCAACTGCGGAATCACCGCCAGAGCATGGCTCCGGGAAGTGAGCAGCGATATGCATGCAGGCCCTGCAAACTGAAAGAAAACCCGGGGGGAACACCCAGGTTCAATTGAGAATGCAGGGCTGGCACCACTGGTGTGACCGGTACGACCATAGCCGCAGCAGACTTTACCAAATTCCAGGTTCCACATAATGTCCAGGGTATCATTATAATGGGAAAGCATCAATAAGCTATCCTCGCTAGAGTCTTTCCTTCTTAGCCGCTCTCCTTGTCCAGTGAGGAATACTCTGTATATTAATTTTGTTGCTAGAGGAATGAGTAATCGAAACAACCAGACTGATATGATGCAGCATGCATCCTCCCATGGCCCATGCCACTGGATTTAGGCATGGGGAAATATTCGGCTCAGTAGCCGACCTGGGGCCGTACCACCCCTCATGAGCTGGTGCCGGGCCTGGTACATGTGATCGCACTATCGCTTTCTAAGCAATAACATTTAAAGTTTCATCCTGCCTAACCCCACCACGTTGTTGCTCTGTTGCTCATCAAGTTGGAGACAGTGACTAGCAAACACAATTATCAAGGAAATACTACCTTTTCTTTTTTCTTTTTTACAAAATAGCCACAAACCATCATGGTGCAAACTCCGGCAAAAACGCACAGAGATGCACATAGCGATGGCAGCCGAAGCAGTGGAGGCGGGGCAAGAGCAGCTCAGCTGACCTTGAAAGACCATTGTATGCAGCACAGCCATCATTGTATGCAGCACAGCCATCATTGTATGCAGCACAGCCATCATTGTATGCAGCACAGCCATCATTGTATGCAGCACAGCCATCATTGTATGCAGCACAGCCATCATTGTATGCAGCACAGCCATCATTGTATGCAGCACAGCCATCATTGTATGCAGCACAGCCATCATTGTATGCAGCACAGCCATCATTGTATGCACAGCCACCATTGTATGCAGCACAGCCATCATTGTATGCAGCACAGCCATCATTGTATGCACAGCCACCATTGTATGCACAGCCACCATTGTATGCAGCACAGCCATCATTGTATGCAGCACAGCCACCATTGTATGCAGCACAGCCATCATTGTATGCAGCACAGCCACCATTGTATGCAGCACAGCCATCATTGTATGCAGCACAGCCATCATTGTATGCAGCACAGCCACCATTGTATGCAGCACAGCCATCTCATTGCACTTACATGCAGTAGTAGATCGGGAACAAGCTGCTCCATGAGTTGCACTGAGCTACAGCTATGCTTAGTGCACATGTGCACAGTATGCAAGGACTTCTGTGTGCAAGCCTGGGGCAGCGGTAGAACAGCAGGGACAAGGGAGAACACCAAAGCAGCAACAACAGTGTTATAACAGGTACAAACAGGACCTTACGGGGCAACTTGAAGCATGTTTCACACAGTCATACACCACTACCCAAGAAAGGTCTCTCGGCTACAATTTCTTCCAAACCTTTTGGGCCAGGCCCATCTTCAGGAAATTCGAATTCTACTTTCGTCTAATCCACCCTTCCAGGAAACTCCCCCGACCGATAAGTATCCATTTACTTTTGGAGAATCCTACAAATAAAGTCTCAATGAAATTCGAATTCTACTAGGGATTATAAAGCTCACCTGTACGACTTGTGTAACTGAGTAGAGATGCCACTGGTTGCTGCTGCTGTTGCTGTGCCCATTGCTGTGTTGTGACGGGGTGCCTGCGTTGGCCTGCACGTCCCCGGCGTTAACACACTGCTGACACGGCGTGTACTGCTCCAGGTGAGGACCGGCCATGTGCGCTTCAGCGCGGAACGGGAACACTTCGTGAGCAAACACCTCGTCGAGCAGCAGCAGAACGATGTCGACGAGGCAAGCTACACGCCGCAAACCTGCACGTCACACAGAGATGGGAATTCGAAACGCGGGATGACGCAACAGAGAAAGAAGAACCCTATTTCCCGGAGTATAATCCGCACTTTAACCCTTTAAGAGCCACAGGAAAATTTCAAAATTCTGCATTTTTTCGTGTTCCTTGGACCATAGCTTCAGTTCTACTCACTCAATCCTCACAATCTAGGGCTTCCTGGAAAGGTCTCCGCGAGAGGAAGAGAATGAGGTCGATCATGATCGCCAGCACACCGTCTATCCAGCGCTAGATCGCAGCGACAGTACGAAAAATGCCCCAAATGCGTCCAATTGCGTCCCGCTCCAGATATTTCATTTTGCTCGATCGTGGAGTTCCAATTTTTTCGCTGTGTACTCTTGACAATATCAACAGTGAAACCCGTGCAAATTTGAGTAAACCAGCGTGACGAAAAGTCTCAAAATTCTCAATACTAAAGTCGCACTGCGCGCTTTTGAAATTGCCGCGATCGCGGCTCAACTTACGAGTGATTTATCTCAGGAACCGTTGCTCGCAGCGCTTCGCGGATTGTTTTTCCCGACAGGTGAGAGTTTTCTCTTTGCCCTGGATATTTCGATCACTGGATTTGAGCAAGATTGGACTGAGTTACGATCTTTTGAAGTTTTGCATTTGAATGCGTCGTTTACGACGCATTCAAGTATGGGGTGGCTCTTAAAGGGTTAAACACCAGTAATTCACACCCAAATGGTCAGTGCAGCTTAGACTATGATGGTGAAATTGACAGTGATGAATACGGTAGATGTCTTCAGCCCGTGACAAAAATCTGGGTGCGGCTTATACTCCACTTATAGACGCGCATTCAGACTACGGCCAAAACCACGTGTAAACTTGAGTTTCCATGGTGATGCAGTCGTGATTCAAATGATTTATGCACAATCCCTGATGAAATACGTCTGAGTCGTAGAAACGTGGTCATAGTTGGCCGTAGTCTGAATCGCCTATAAGGCTTGTATACTCTGGAAAACGACGGTACTCATTCGCTAGTCTACTCTCCCGTTATCCGTGGCGTCTCCTGTCCTTTTCAGCATTAGGTCAATTGAATTTTGAATGCGACAGGGGAAACCCTTACATCGCCTGAAGGTCTACAAAGCAGTGTGGGTACACTCATTATTATTATTATAGGCAGAAAAGAGGATACAGGGTGATCTTTCAATGGCTCACTGAAAAGTGACCCAATCCAGCACATGCAATTTAAGGTATATCGAGACCAGCGTCTTTTCAGAAGTATTTTGATCTTCTTTTCAGCAAACGACCTCATTGATCTGCATCGCTTGTATTGTTTACCTGTGTTTGCTGCATACTGCTGCTTTATTGTTCCGAGTATCAGTTTAAACTGCAATTTCAAATTTGGACTTCATGGAGAATTTCAAAGTGTTAGGAAATTAGAGGCCACATGCCACCTACTGCTCTTTTCCCCCGTCGTGGTGTGACTGGTGATTTTTTCTTTCTTTCATATCTGGCTTGCAAGTGTTGAGTTTCGGAGAGAAAAGAGCAGTAGGTGGCACGTGGCCTCTAATTCCCTAACAAGTATCAGTTTACGAACTTAGAATCTCTGGATGGCAGTCGTGAGTCAGTCAAGTGTCAAGTTCGGCAAGAAGCGTGTGTTCCTAGTTGGAACAATCAACTTCAAGTATCAGTTTAGTTTAGTTTAAACATCTCTTGTTATTATTTTTTCACCCCACACCCTCTACTCTGTTATCGGCCCTCTTAAGAGTTGTGTTCATCACTGTTGAGGCTTCCGATGGAAAACGAGAGAGCTTGGAAGCTCAGGGCCCTACGCTATGCTTTTTTGCCTTGATGACCTAGACAAAAAAAGCATAGGGATGTTATAAATTCTTTAAAAAATTCCTTAATTTTTAAGACATAACCTAGGATTCGAACCCGCACTACCGCACGCCCTGCATGCATCCCCCGATACACTTCGCATACATACTAATTCTTCCAAGTTGCTTCACGTTATGATCTTGCATTTGAAAGCCCTATTTGAATATGCATTGTGGCCAGCCGTCTTTGATGGTACGGTACGGTACGGGACAGGTACGATCAAGGGTAATACGACACCGTCCACCGCCTTGATGATGGCAAAAAAAAGCATAGGGATGTTATAAATTTTTCAATTCTCCTATTTTTTCCAGGCATATCCTGGGATTCGAACCCGCACTATCGCCCTACATGCATTCCCCCATACACTTCGCATTCATACCCATTCTTCCAAGTTGCTTCACGTTATGATCTTGCGTTTGAAAGCCCTATTTGAGTATTGCGGCCAGCTGTATGTGGCCAGCTGTGTTTGATGGTACGGTACGGTACGGGACAGATACGGGATAGCGCCAGGCGTGACACAAACACACAAATACCAAATTAAAGCTGTGTGGACCCTGGCTAGCGCCAGACGTTACTGAAGTAACGTCTTCTGCATAGCTACGGGAATAAAAGAATACTACTACTACTACTACTACTACTAAGAATATCGCAGTAACGTAACGGCTGTACCCCTAAACCCCCACCCAAGATCCGCTGGATATTATTTTCCACAGAAGTGAAGTGAACGTGGTGGACTCACCTGTTTGCCCTGTACCTGGCACAGCCACACACAGTGTGCCGACGTTGCTGAGCTGCGGCACCTGGGGGAACGCACCCTTCACCGTCGACTTCTGAAAGACGCTGAAGATCAGCTGGTCATCCACCCAGCCGGCTATGCCTCCAGTCCAGAGAGTGAGGCGATGACGACGGGACAGCTCAAAGTCTTGCGAGTACCGGTTCCGGGAGAGATTACGTGACGCTCCTGAAGCAGAGCCCAGACATAGAAATGCACAGCTGGCTGCACTGTACAGTAAATCTCTAACTAAGGACCACCTGCCACTAAAGACCACCTGCCACTAAGGACCACCTGCCACTAAAGACCACTTTTTCTGGCCCCAACGGGTGGTCGTTAGCTACAGGTTTTTTATTTGTTTTATTTCACCGTCCAATGGCAGAAGCCAATGCAAAGGAGGGGGTGTCAGCCAGCCATGGCAAGAGAAGAAAAAGAAAGACAGAAGGAAAGAATATGATAATCGGAAGAAAAGAATGCATCACCGGGGTGAAATTTATCACTATGTTGACCATGGTGGAGAGCGGCGAGATAAGCTAGCAAAAGAGGCGAGCGAGCCTACAACGTGGCATGACATTTAACATGGTGTATGAACTGTCATTACTGCATCTCAAACAGAACACTGGTGGCACGATGTCGTCCACGGGACAGCAATGACTGAAAGGAATCACTCAACAGCAACATCACTTGCACGGACACGGAATAATAATTATACATGTACCCTGACACCCACAACAGAAAACGACCACCAACCATCCTCGCATCCTCTTTCCGTATATGTCGTCTTTGCCCCCATACACACATCTTACCATTTGTTCCCTGAACAGACATGTCGGTGACTCAACATCACCCATCCACCCCCCCCCCCCCCCCCCCACCACCACCACCACACACACACACACACACACACACACACACACACACACACACACACACACACACCTGTCCTGTCCTGTAGAGTCACTGCCGCAAAAGGGTCACGTGATCCCATCACTGGGAAACTTGAGAAGAGAGAGAGAGAGAGAGAGAGAGAGAGAGAGAGAGAGAGAGAGAGAGAGAGAGAGAGGGCACGACGCCCGATGACGCTCCAGGTGCACGGGTAGTCGCATCCGCTTGCCGCATATGCACGCGTGCTGGAAGGTTGAGCGCTCCTCTGCTGTTGGTCTATGGGCCACCCTTGAACAGCGATGCCTGCCCCGTCCCCGGACACCGCGAAAGCAGCGACCACACCTGTCACAATGCGCGGCACAACATCCCTCCGCCGGTGCCGACGTTCCGGTAGCTCCAGGTGGCACTGTGGCATCCACCGTCAAGGCACACACATGTCGGACCAAGCCACCGCGGCTTCTCTCACACACACACATGCGCACGCGCACGCGCGCACACACACACACTACTACTACTACTACTACTACTACTACTACTACTACTACTACTACTACTATGTACAACTGCCACAAAATGGCCACGTCGCTCCCAGAAGCGGGAGACAACAGCGAGAAAGGAAAAGAAACAAGAAGAATAATTGAGGTGAAAGGGGACCATTCTACACGCAATGCTTCTGTCTCCGGTGGCGGGTAAGGTCCTGCGGGCGGGAAAATCGTTCGCTACATAGGCTGCATTGGATGGGCAGATTAGTCCTCTGGTCCTTTCCCAGTCGTTTGCCTCGAGTACAATTATGGCGGTTAAAACCAGCCTGACTCTTCATGCAGCGATCACAAGTCGAGCAATGGTGGTGGCAGCAGTCCAAATTCAGGCTGCATCTCGTTGGAACAGCTGGTATATCGTCCGATGTCTGACGCTCCACACAACGATGAACTGCAAAACCACCAGCGCTTTGAAACCAGCGGTCACAAACTCCACAGTGACGGGCCCCAGGCTCCTGGGCAACAGGTAAGGACCGTACAGCTGAGCACTTGTGACGGTACACACGCACACACGCGCACACGCACGCACACACACACACACACACACACACACACACACACACACACACATACACACACACACACACAAACATAATCCCTACCTGGCCTAGCATGTCGCACATCGGCGCGCTTGTGTTGTCCACAGTTCCAACTCAGTGCCTCTGTGTAGCTATGTGGCTGCTCAGCTGTCCTATCCTGCGTGAGCTCGGCGAGATTGTCCATGGCGTACGACTGGAGCAGGGGAAAAAAGCCCAGAGGCCACGGCCAGTCGTTCGACGCAGAGAAGAAGCGTACGTGCATCGGCGTGGAGTGAATGCTGCTTACGAACCGTGGCTCCAGGTTGGGGGGCATGACGGCAGGAAGCTGCGGGCACATACAGGGAAGAGAACGGATTTGACATTGATATCGGAGATGAATTCCACGTATTCTAATGTAATTCCCAGGCATTTCAACAACATTACAACTCCTAGGACAAAATATATTTTCAGCCATTCCTGTAATTATTGAACCAAAACTAAGGTGCCTCCAGAGCCTAGTTTAGAGCAATCAGCCAGGTGAAAGGGAACATTATGTTAGCTGCTCCCTCCAGTCTCTCCGGAGGCGTGGGTTCGAATCCCACCGCTGCCACCAGTGTTAGCTGCTCCCGGAAGTCCCCTCACACCGGAACACAGGGGTTTTATATGATTGGATTATAGAAGTATTCGATAAGAGTGTAGACAGAAAGAGAACAGGACAACGACAACTCAAGACAGACTAGAACAGAACAGAACTGGAGACCCACTGGAGCATGCGCTCTTCTATACGTGAGTCTCATTGCCAAGGGGAACGAGCGGGAAATACGAATAGTGAGTATGTACAGGTCGTAGCATTAATACACCTATTACAATTACTACCGGCACCCTCATGACTACTGCCCCCGGGTATGAACACCAACTCACGACTAACGACACAATCTTCAGATCTGGTAACTGTTTGCAGCATAATGCATCTCCCCGAATATAAGTCGCACCTAATAACGATAAACGTCGCCAGCAAAGAAGGGGATGCGACTTATAATCGAGTGTGACAACTTACTTATGTAAACATATTGACACAATATGGCTCAGACCTGAGAATTACAATCGAGTGCGACATATACTCGGGGAAATACGGTATTTTTCAATCTCACGAAAAATGACAGGATCATCGAGGGTCGTTATTGACAAAGTTCGACTGCACACAGTTAAGTGCTCTTTGTGCTCTCTGTGTGCATGGGGAAAGTATCAGTCTGGCTTCATGGGGAGCACCTCCAAGGAAACGTGAACGGATGAATGTACACAGACCTCTGGTCTACGGAAACTTGTAGACACGTACATCATTGCCTCCAGGACCTGCGTCACCATGCAATGTGCTGAATCCACTGAGCAATTCCCTACATTGAAGTCCAATACCTCCTGCGTCACCATGCAATGTGCTGAATCCACTAAGCAATTCGCTACATTGAAGTCCAATACCTCGTGCAGTGTCGATGTAAAAATTTGTGCAAATCAAGAATGGAGAGGAGAGCATGGGAATAATGTGATCACGCACAAACACACACAATCGATGATTTTGACCACGAACTCTGCTTGTTCACTTACCTTAAAAGGCAGGAACATCATGTCACCCTGAACTGGAAACGCAAGACCAAAAAAGGTAGCCAGTTGCATGGCAAAGTCTCCCAGCTTTGCACGCGGTGAGCCACGGCCAAACATCTCGCGGCTGGCCAATGCCTTGCGACGATACAAGCCTTCGGTGTGCGATGCAAAGCCCAGTGGAGGATGTGCCTGTGGGCCAAATCCATCCTGCAGAAAACCAAGATCAATCACCATGCAACCAATCACTGGGCAGATCTCAAGTTAGCTTCACCAATGCCAGAATTATACTATAAACAAAAAAAAGGTTCTGGCACGCAACCAACCCTGGACTCAGACAAAAGCATGATTCGCAACACCACTTTCCGCAATGCGATGCACAACATATAACACATGTGGCGAGCTGCAAGCGCGACACATTACTCACAATCCTTTCGCTTTGTTTGACATCGACAAAGTTGTACATGCAGCATGGGGCATTGCAAAAAGCGATACTATGAACCGAGTTAAACATACGAGTGTTGAATTGGTGATCACAAAATCACACAACGCCGTACCAGCAGAGATCTGAACAGCCACTGTGGTGTGAAGAAGTAGAGGTCATCAAACACAGAGCCCGGGTAAGGGATGTGCAGCAGATTCCCATCATGCTGGAGAAAGGTGAGCAGCGCTTTCATCTCGTCCCAGTTAGACTCTGCTATCTCATCCACGGGATCTTTCATCAGGCTGTTGATCTGTGTACAAGTCACAAATACCAACACAAGCACAACATATCCTGAAGCAGAACGGAAGGTAAAGAGAATAATAGTATGAGCCTCGTACCGGATGTTGTACGTCCTAGGTGTTAATTAAAGACCAACAAGAGGGGTACACACTCGAATGCGTGCACACAGGCACACACGCAATCCGCATCCAGGCGGAGTCTGTACTGGGGACTCTGCCGGCACAATCTAGGCAAGCAAGTGCACGTAGCCGTCGGTTACATAGCGTGCTGTCTATAGATATGCATACAGAAACTGAATCGGACAAGATAAACCCGGGCAGAAGTCTAATCTTGACTTCCCACCGCAACAATGACCGACCCACGACCCCACCCCTCCCCCCCCCCCCCCCCCACCCCTCCCCTACCCCTATGTATCTGTCTAACGTTACTGGAAAGTTACCTTGGAAAAGAGATCCACTTTCTCGATCATCCACGCGGTTTGCTCTAGCGGCGTGGAGAGCAGCTTCTTATTGGACGAGAGTCTGTTACGCAATCCGACGTGACTGTGCGGGACCTCCGGGATCATCAGGTATGTCGAGTCCAGTGTGTCCAGGACATCGAACAGATCCTTGACGGAGCGTTCGCGATGGCCACGCGTCAGATTTACAATGACCGGCTGTAACGCAAAGCATCACAACAGCAAACAGTACGAGTAAACATTTGAGATCAGTGCAGTTAAACACTGCGGACTGGTCGTATCGCCTACTAAATCATCAGTACTTGGTGCAATCCCAGCAAGCATTTAGCAATACCCTCCCCCACCCACACCCACTGGCAGTATCTTTAAAGGGGAAGTTAAGGCAAAAATCAAAATTTCACCAGTTGTAGTCTCCGGGGTGCTGAGTCAAATGGTCTTGGTTCGAGAAAGCTGAGACGCTCCCTTCCTACTTGAATCCCAATCGAACTTGCGCACTTCCACCGAAACTGGGTGACTGCGCCCTACGAGATGGGGATTTGTATGCAAAATGTCACTAAAAGCGCCATTTCATTCTTATAAAAGCACGGATGACCGCGATTGGCCCATATGTTGTGGTCTTTTGGACGCTGAGTCGACTGGTTTTGGTCCGAAAAGGCTGCGATGCAGCATTGCTCCTTTATTCCCTATCGAACATGGTTGGACAAGTGGTCACGTGCTCCTGGGTGCCCAAATCACCTGGTCACCACGCCAGCAGGCGACAACGTTCACACCAAGGTTCAACTCGAGTTCAACTCGAGTGACAGGACTGTACCCAAAAAAGGTCAAACAGGCTAGTAAGTTGTACCCTGCAGGCACGGTGACCAGCTGACTGGTGTACGCAGGAGCACGTGACCGCTTGTTCAACCATGTTCGATTGGGAATAAAGGAGAAACGCTGCATCGCAGCCTTTTCGGACCAAAACCAGTCGACTCAGCGTCCAAAAGACTACAACATATGGGCCAATCGCGGTCATCCGTGCTTTTATAAGAACGAAATGGCGTTTTTAGTGACATTTTGCATAAAAATCCCCATCTAGTAGGGCGCAGTCACCCAGTTTCGGTGGAAGTGCGCGAGTTCGATTGGGATTCAAGTAGGAAGGGAGCGTCTCAGCTTTCTCGGACCAAGACCATTCGACTCAGCACCCCGGAGACTACAACTGGTGAAATTTTAATTCCCGTAGCTATGCAGAAGACGTTACTTCAGTAACGTCTGGCGCTAGCCAGGGTCCACACAGCTTTAATTTGGTGTTTGTGTGTTTGTGTGTTTATGTGTTTGTGTCACGCCCGGCGCTATCCCGTATCTGTCCCGTACCGTACCGTACCATCAAACACAGCTGGCCACATACAGCTGGGCGCAATATTCAAATAGGGCTTTCAAACGCAAGATCATAACGTGAAGCAACTTGGTAGAATTAGTATGAATGCGAAGTGTATGGGGGAATGCATGTAGGGCGATAGTGCGGGTTCTAATCCCAGGTTTAATATGCTAAAAAATAGGAAAATTGAAAAATTTATAACATCTCACATCTCTATGCTTTTTTTGCCTAGGTCATCAAGGCGGTAGACGGTGTCGTATTACCCTCGACCGTACCTGTCCCGTACCTGTCCCGTACCTGTCCCGTACCTGTCCCGTATCTGTCCCGTACCTGTCCCGTACCATACCGTACAATCGAAGACGGCTGGCCACAATGCATATTCAAATAGGGCTTTCAAATGCAAGATGATAACGTGAAGCAACTTGGAAGAATTAGTTTGTGTGCCAAGTGTATCGGGGGATGCATGCAGGGCGATAGTGTGGGTTCGAATCCCAGGTTATGTCTTTTAAAAAAAAGGAAAAATTTATATGAATTAATAACATCCGTATGCTTTTTTTGTCTAGGTCATCAAGGCAAAAAAGCATAGCGTAGGGCCCTGAGCATCCAAGCTCTCTCGTTTTTGCCTTTTTAACTTCCCCTTTAAAATTGGTGCACAACAAGATCAAAATTAATCAGGGAGGGGGGGGGGCATTACATTGTTCAGCACACGAAGCACAGAAGCCATAATTTTTCTTTCACTAGGCCTTTCATTCCATTACTCCTCAGGTCGAATACAATGGTGATTAACAAGGTAGTAAGCAAGTCCTGATAACCGGCACTTTTGACATTGTAGTACTGTGGTTCCCACTGTTGTCTGATCCTGGTAATATTCATTGTCTCACTGTGTACTTGGCGCCACTAGCGCTATCTTTTAAAGTGCTATTTGGTCTATGCTCTGACTACCAAATATGCTGTTGGCGCCACTAGCGCTATTTTTCAAGTGCTATTTTTGTCAATGCTCTGCCCGCCAAAAGTGCCGGTTATAAGGACTTGCTTACTACCTTGTTAATCACCATTGTATTCGACCTGAAGAGTAATGGAATGAAAGGCCTAGTGGAAGAAAAATTATAATCATGGCTTCTGTGCTTCGTGTGCTGATTTGCTTTCCTCCAACCAAAAATCTATTCATTACATTGTCCAAGGCCAGGGACTGAGTGATTCACCACCTAGTACTGCATTCTGTGTCCCGGATATACTTTCTGATTTATTGTGTCTATCCCCCATCCCCCCCCCCCCCCCCAAACAAGTTCTTTTACAAGAGGAGAAGACTGATATAATAAAATGAATGTTTGAATCGCAGTGAAGAGACCGTTTTTGGAATTGAGAAGTGAAGTGTAAATGTGTAAGTGGCTGCGTTGGAGTTTGCGGACAATTAGAAAAGTTTAATAAAATGAATTCTACTTTAAAGTTCTACAATCAAAATGACATAATGCCAATAAACATGTGATGCGGGTGATTTTAATTTTTAACCAGCCATGGTTGACATACAATATACGCCTACCTTGGGTCGAACTGGTCGCAGGTTTGCCAGTATCTCGTGTTCGCCCAGCTTTGTGTCGACGCAGTCCACAATCTCTTCACGCGGCACATCGCGCGTGTGAACGGCTGCCAACACCACCTGCACACCACAAGGATACGGATACAACCAAGCATGGGGCTACGGGCACCGGCACACAGGCTGGTCTTCAGGTATAAAGGTTACGCAAATACTGCATAAGTACAAAGTTTTTTTCGGAAATAACTTTCGCTATATTCGTTAGGGGGCACGAAATATCTAAAGTGTACGAGTACCAAACTAAAGTTTTTTTTTCGGACGTTCGGGGTGACAGACTTTGACCAAAAACTAAACTTAGTACGCAACGAACCTGCTGGTGGAGTGATCTAACGAAAGATTTCGTGAAAGAAAATTTGCACTTGTGCAGTAGTACATCGTCAGGTGAGGTGCTCTGTGAAAGTGGCAGACTCGCTGCACAGTCATTCGCTAAAACGTAAGTTTTCCTTGCTCGTTATAATTACATGTCTTATGCTTGTCCCACACTCGGGTGATTTTTCGGCAGATGCTCCGACACCGACTCCGATATGAAATCCGTAGACTGGGCTGGATAACCTATACCCACCCACGCAACGTTTGTCGGAAACGTGCGCGTCAACACCGTCCACAGCAGGCAATTTTCGTTCCGATCCTGGGGATTTTCGTACGATTCCATAACCGGCCTAGTGCCGTAGTGGGTACTACGCATAAGAGTACACTAACCTGCAACCGAGGGTTACGCCCAGTCTTGGTGTTGTGCGGGAGTTTCTTGCGAATAAACTCAAAGAACGGTATGAGATCGACCAAGGACTCATCTATGCAGGTGAACATACATATAAACACACACACACACGCATACACACACACACACACACACACACACACACACACACACACAAACACACACATACACACACACACACACACACGCATACACACAAACACGCACACACACACACACACACACACACACACACACACACACACACACACACACACACACACACACACGCATACACACAAACACGCACACACACACACACACACACACACACACACACACACACACACATACACACACACACACATACACACACACACACACGCACACACACACACACACACACACACACACACACATACACACACACACACGCATACACACAAACACGCACACACACACACACACACACACACACACACACACACACACACGCATACACACAAACACGCACACACACACACACACACACACACACACACACACACACATACACACACACACACGCATACACACAAACACGCACACACACGCACACACACACACACACACACACACACACACACGTATACACACAAACACGCACACACACGCACACACACACACACACACACACACGCATACACACACGCGCGCACGCACGCACACACACACGCACACACACACACATACACACACAATGGATGAACTACCCATCACAATCATTTAGTTTGTTTTGCATTCTTTCCAGGAACAGACGAGCCGACTGGTATTTTTTAAGAACACTAGGAAAAGCTTCCGGACAAAATATTCAATACCCTGGGTGCAGGGAATGTCACGCATACCAGTAAAACATGCATTGGTTGTTAATACGTTGGTCTGGTAATGACACGACCAACCGGCCTGGTTCCGGCGGGCCTGGTAAAGTGAGAAACGACCAAACGAATCAGTCACTACTGCCGGGCTGTAGACACAGGCAACCGAATACATGTACAGTGATCCCTGCCCTAACCGGACGTCCTCAGCGCAGCGGAAAACTGTCCTGATATGACAGGATTCCGCTTGATCCAGGGATGCATGTTCGATCCACGGCATTTTGGTGAACGAAAATTTGTCTGGTCATTACAGGATTCCATTTGGTACAGGGTTTGGAAAACACAGGTTTTAGTGAGTCGGAGTCATTTTACTGCACAAAAGAATTCAAAGAAGCCAGCCCAAACCAAACTTTCCGAATACGCAGAGTTCTAAGACTTACCTCGATCCAGATCCCAGACAAGGATGAAGTGGGTGTGCTTGACATCCATGGCGCGCATGAACAGCCAGAACGTCTCTAGACAGCCCAGATCAAACACTCCGGGCGGACAGCTAGAGTAATCACGCATGTGTCTAACGAGCAGCTGACGCCGATCGTGGGATTCACCAACCACGACGATCTACAACACATGGTTTGCACGAAGAGCAAAGAAAACTAACAGCTCTCATTCACCTGCAGGAATACTACGCTACACAAATGTTGTTGGGGGGGGGGGGGTTAGCGTAGCAAGTCCAGATGATTACAAGCGCCTCTCTAGTCACTACAGACGGCGTAAAGCATTTAGAATTTTAAATTGCTTCCACAGTCAGCGGCGGATCCAGCGATCTCTACAGGGGGGGGGGTCCAGTATAGTCAAAACTAAATAGCTGATACATGTACAGTTGCGCTCACTGAAATCCGACCCAACGTGCAAAGCTGGCGCATTCAACTTCCACGGCCCTTGACGCCCTCGAAATGAGATGAATGCGGCTGGGCGTACACATGTACACATACAATGATGTAATCGGAACTGGTCCAGGGCGCCAGCTTTGCACTTTGGGTCGGATTTCAGTGAGCGCAACTGTACATGGACACGCATATGGCTGCCAGTAGTACATTTACGAAATTTGGGGGGGGGGAGGTTCCGTGCTGGAACCCCTCCTGGAACCCCTCTTGGAACCCCTCCTGGATCCGCTCCTGGATCCCCTCCTGGAACCCCTCCTGGATCCGCTCCTGGAACCCCTCCTGGATCCGCTCCTGGAACCCCTCCTGGATCCGCTCCTGGAACCCCTCCTGGAACCCCTCCTGGAACCCCTCCTGGATCCGCTCCTGGAACCCCTCCTGGATCCGCTCCTGGAACCCCTCCTGGATCCGCTCCTGGAACCCCTCCTGGAACCCCTCCTGGAACCCCTCCTGGAACCCCTCCTGGATCCGCTCCTGGATCCGCTCCTGGAACCCCTCCTGGATCCGCTCCTGGATCCCCTCCTGGAACCCCTCCTGGATCCGCTCCTGGAACCCCTCCTGGATCCGCTCCTGGAACCCCTCCTGGAACCCCTCCTGGAACCCCTCCTGGAACCCCTCCTGGAACCCCTCCTGGAACCCCTCCTGGAACCCCTCCTGGAACCCCTCCTGGAACCCCTCCTGGATCCGCTCCTGGATCCGCTCCAGACTGTAATAACAAAGTGCAACATGTGATTGTTAGAAGGTGCTGTGCACGGCGCACAGTGAACAGTCCCAGAAGCTGTGGAGGGACTTCCCCAGAAGCTGTGGAGGGACTTCCGCATAATCTGTGGAGGGACTTCCCCCGTGCTCCCCCACTGACTACTATAACTCTACCTTGGCAGCTCGCTGTGGCTCCAGGCTGCGCAGCTGCTTGTTCAAGTAGCGCACGATATCGCCGGGACGTCCGAGGTGCTCCTCGGGCACGTTACCGATCGTCAGCTTCTTGGTGTCCAGGGAGATGAGCTGTGAGAGGCGACCGAGCTCCAGCGGCAGAGACTTGATAGCGTGGTTGTCACTGATGTTAAGAGAACACAGCTTGGTCAGCTCACCTGTACCACAACAGATACAACACAGCACACGACCCATAACGCACAACACACCGCATACATTACGCAATACACAACACACAACACACAAGAGGCCACAAACACTACATACCAGAGTATATTGATAATGCTCTTCCATTCGACCTCAGTAAATCTACATTCCACCTGATCCACATGATCTACTCTACCGCAACCACCCTTCGCACTCTCCTTTCATCCAGATTTCATACACCTACCCCCTGCCCCGATAACGCTTCCACTTCATACACCCATCCTGCCCCTACCACCCTTCCCCTTCATACACCCATCCTGCCCCTACCACCCTTCCCCTCCATACATCCACCCTGCCCCTACCATACTAGCCAACACCCACCCATGCCGCCCCTACCACCCTTCGCCCTACCCTCTTCTCTATAGACCTACCCCATAACCCTACCACTCTTCCCTCTCCTCCATACGCTTACCCCCCCCCCCCCCCACAGCCCTTCCTAATCTCCTCTCCTCCATACACCTACCCCCACTTCCCTCTATACCTACCCCATTCTGATATCCCTTACCCTCACCCTCCACACACAACTTCCCTCCCACCCCTAAACCATTGCCCCTTCCCTGTCCCCCATACGCCCACCCCATACCCTACCCCTCCATACCCCACCATACACCCCCATCACTGCACCCATTTCCCCTCCCCTTTCTTTCTACTGATTATTCCTGCCAGAAAGCCTCTAGCCCGACCCACACAGCTACACAGTAATGTGAGTAAATTGGCAATCCATGCGTCGACTCACCCACACAGCGCGGCACATACTCCAATTTGTTATGGGAGAGGTTGAGGTTGAGCATTTCGCTGGCCTTGCCCAGGGAAAACGGCAATGTCTTGAGCTGGTTGTTCGACAGGTTGAGATCGGTCAGGCACGGAGACCAATCCTCGACTTCTGGGAACTCGGCGAGGTTGATCTTGCGCAGGTTGAGCTTCTTGAGGTTCTTCAAACCGAAGATCTCCACCGGCAGTCCCGTGTGATTATTAGCGTCGGCGCAATCCGCGCCGCCGATGAAATTCTCACTCAGATCCAGTACTTTGAGATTCTTCAGCTGTACGATAACGGGCGGAACTCCACGAAGATAGTTGACGCTCAGATCCAGTGATGTCACCCATTCGCCCAGCGACGTCACCGAATGGTGGATGGAGTTGTTGCCCAACGATCGGAACACGTGCATCTCGCGTAGCAGCCAGTAGTTGGCGACGAACGGCAGACCGAGGCCGTGCCAGTCGACAGCGCCGGTCTTCGTGTCGCATTCCATGTTGATCAGGATCTCCCCGGCCGTGTCATGGAAACTCTGTTGCATAGCAACCTGTAGAGTTAGTGAGCGAGTGAGAGAAAGAGAGTTAGTGAGCGAGTGAGAGAAAGAGAGTTAGTGAGCGAGTGAGAGAAAGAGAGTTAGTGAGCGAGTGAGAGAAAGAGAGTTAGTGAGCGAGTGAGAGAAAGAGAGTTAGTGAGCGAGTGAGAGAAAGAGAGTTAGTGATTGAGTGAGAGAAAGAGAGTTAGTGAGTGAGTGAGAGAAAGAGAGTTAGTGATTGAGTGAGAGAAAGAGAGTTAGTGAGTGAGTGAGAGAAAGAGAGTTAGTGAGCGAGTGAGAGAAAGAGAGTTAGTGAGCGAGTGAGAGAAAGAGAGTTAGTGAGCGAGTGAGAGAAAGAGAGTTAGTGAGTGAGTGAGAGAAAGAGAGTTAGTGAGCGAGTGAGAGAAAGAGAGTTAGTGAGTGAGTGAGAGAAAGAGAGTTAGTGAGCGAGCGAGAGAAAGAGAGTTAGTGAGTGAGTGAGAGAAAGAGAGTTAGTGAGTGAGTGAGAGAAAGAGAGTTAGTGAGTGAGTGAGAGAAAGAGAGTTAGTGAGCGAGTGAGAGAAAGAGATTTAGTGAGTGAGTGAGAGAAAGAGAGTGAGTGAGTGAGAGAAAGAGAGTTAGTGAGCGAGTGAGAGAAAGAGAGTTAGTGAGCGAGTGAGAGAAAGAGAGTTAGTGAGCGAGTGAGAGAAAGAGAGTTAGTGAGCGAGTGAGAGAAAGAGACGGTTAGTGAGTGAGTGAGAGAAAGAGAGTTAGTGAGTGAGTGAGTGAGAGAAAGAGAGTTATTGAGCGAGTGAGAGAAAAAAAAGAGAGAAAAGGGAGAGAGAAAGAGGAGGAAAAAAACAGAATATACCAAATTTCCCCGTTTGTAAGTCACACTCAATTGAAAGTCGCACCTCCATTTCCGGATCCATGTCACATCGTTTCAATATATTCACTGCAGTAGTAAATCATGCTCGATTGTAAGTCGCACCCCCTTTGCTGGCCCTGAAGTTAGGTGTAAAAAGGTGCGACTTATATTCGGGGAAATACGGTACACAATGTTCCTACGAGAAAATATTCCCTACGTATCAAGGAATGAAGGATACCGTACAAAGCAAGAGTATGTCTTAGCAGAATACCCACTAAGTTAGTTCTGTCGTATCGCCACTGGCCAGTTCACCATTATTACAAGTGCTTGGAGGAAAGTCAAAAGTTTGTACATATACGACTGAAGTAACTTAGTGTATACTCTGCTACGACATAATCTTGCTTGACATGCATATTCACAAACTTTCCGATATCGTATCTTTTAAGTCAGCACAAGCACATCAGCAGAATTCTCGGACAGGGAGGGAGAAGAAGAAGGGGTTGGGAGGGGGGGGGGGGGGGGATTCAATGACCATAACAGTACTACAGCCATACCTCGCTTAGACGCACACATCCATTTTCCACAAAACAAATCCGGATGGGTGAGGGAACCGGATAATCGAACACACCCCAGGGCCGGCGGAACCGGTCAGGCTGGTCCGGCCATGGCCGGACCGCTGGATGGTCCATGTGATTCGTGCAAAACCAGTGTAAAAAACCCAGAGGTACACAACTCGACTGTACTGCCGACGTGTGATGTGCTTCGAAGTAGCTCAGGACTCCATGACCGGCACTGTATGGCTTCATATGGTTAAAAAAAAGTTGTGTTTGTGTTCTTTTACTATAATTTTCTGCATTTTCTGGAGCCTTAATTAAGAGACGCCCAAATTCGCTCTATTTCACGTAAATTTTAAATATTTCTCCCGCGGGAGCTCCCCCGGACCCCCCTCAAAGGTTGGCCGGACCACTCCCAAACTCCTTCCTCCGGCCCTGCACCCACCCACGCAAGCTCACGTTAACGCCGAGACCATAGGTCGGTGTTGTGGGCTTGCCTCACCAGCACAGGCTTGCTTTGCGGCCCCTACTCTCCCTGCTGTTTTGTCATTGTATACTCTGTTGTCTTCTCCCCTTCTGACGAGTAGGTTGTGTACTTAGTAAAAATAAATAAAAATAAAATAAAATAGAAAAAAATACAAAACATACTGTATGTATGAATGACATTATGGTGTGAATCGGTAACCAATGATTTTCTTCCTGATGGCGAGGGATCCGGATTAAAGAGGATCGGATAAAAGAGGACAGGATTAAAGAGGAGGGGATTAAAGAGGACCGGATAAAATAGGACGGGATAAGCGGCGAGGTCTGACAGTACTTCTGAGTACCTTGCCCTATACTTCACCAGCCATTCCACCGGGGGGGGGGATACTCCAAACACATGATATGTGTATCCGTACCCTCATAGCTATGCTGGTGTTGATGGCCTTCTTGCTGTGCAGCGGGTAGACTAAGTCTCGCTCCTGCTGAGATCCCAGGATGAGAAAGTTATTGTTCTCCACCTCAACTTGAGGCGCCAGCAAGTACCTGACACAGGAGAAAGACAGCGTGCACATGCAAACGGGCATACACATGCACAAACACATACGTACAAGCGGACACACACACACACACACACACACACGTACTGTTAAGAAAAGATGTATCAGGGGCGTCGCAGAGCAGTGGAGAGTTATACGACCGGGGGTCCGGGGTGTCGACCGTGGAAACAACCGGATTTTTCAGCCAATACTGTACGTTTTAGCTGTCTACAGGCGCTCGGGGAGGACCATCCTGGACGAAACGTGGTAGGGCCATAGTCGTACTGGTAGTACCGTGTGTGTGACGCCCCTGTGTAGTGTTTTCCTGTGTGATGGCATTCCCCAAACTGTCTTCGTTTAGTTGCGTGCATATGTGATACGAGCATACATGCAAGCGCATGTACACACACACACACACACACACACACACACACACACACACACACACACACACCTCAGACCTCAGACATGCCCATCGCGGGAGCGATGATAGCGAACAGCTATGTTTTAGACATAGCAACTTGTGCTGGGATTACACCATTCAACAGCTTGCAAGGCTGATGAATTGACCGCCACTATTTTTAGCCTGGTATCCACCACACGGCTGTTTGAAGTGACTTTTACACACACACACACACGTAACTCGAAGTACGGGCGAATCAAAGTTAGCAGGAAGTGGACGGAGTGAAACCGGCAAGAGTCTACTGCCCAATCACTGCTCAATGGATCTCAGTAGTATGCCCTTTACAGCCGGGTCACATCATCCAGGGCTATGTGTATATATAAACTGAAACGACACTTGAACATTGCAACATCATAGAAAACGACTCCGGGTATAACAACAACTCTCGAATACCGTATTTCCCCGAATATAAGCCGCCAATTTTTACACTCAACTTCACGGCCAACAAAGGGGATGCGACTTACAATTGAGCATAATTACTACTGAAGTGAATATACCGAAACAATAGCACATACACCTGGAGATAGGAGTGCGACTTACAATCGGGGAAATACGGTCACGACACAATCTTCAGGCCTACAGAGTATTCGACTGCATACGAGTACTTTATCCCTCACAAATAACGACAACTCGTTAGCAAAGACACCTTTCTCACGCGTGATCAAGGCTCGCTATTCACAAGGTTCACTGTACACAACATTCACGTGTGTTTTCCTGCATGCAATTACACTCATACCTCGTTTATCCGGGCGGTCTGGAACCAGGCACTGCCCTTAACTTTCAAATGTCCGCAACTCCGAATCACATACACTTTGATGGGGAAAGGCCATAGATATGGGATGTGACGTCACAATCTCCAGATTCTCCACAAAAGTGACAAAAGAGTAGTGATGTTTCCACTTAAACTCGTACAAAGGGTACCCGGCAGGCCAAAGTGCCCGTAACTTCGGGATCCGGATAACCAATGTATGAGTGTGCAAACAAAATGCGTTCACGCGTGTACCTGACTGCGTCCGTGTCGTGTATGAACGTTCGGTAGGAGAGGATGAGAATGGCAGCTACCTCCAGGAACCCGGAATTCTTCGCCAGCTTGTAACTGGTCAGCATTACGTCCGGATTGTGCACTCCGAACTGCAGAAGATAGCCGACGACTTGTATGTTGTTGGCGCTAGCTGCATCCGACAAGCACTTGTCGATCAGCTTGCGGACAACCTGCAGAAAGCAGACCATTCAACATCATGTTTTTGTTCATGTAAATAAGTGACGTGGAGACAATAACTTAATGATAGCAATAAATAATATTAGTCCCGTGGTTATGCCACTTATTTTTGTACATGCCTCAAGGCTTCTTGCAGCTACTCACAAACCCGTAGAACAAACTTCTGGTAGACATTTTATGTGAATTGCACAGAGCACGAAAAGCTGTATAGCTCGTGAATTCACAAAGACCGTGAATATCCACGAATACCGGCACCACGTCTGACGGTATCACATTGCCCAGGTGTTGCTGTGCCGGTGCACAGCTATAACTGAGCTGTAACCCAGAAGACAGCATTACTTCCTGCCAGGGTTGGCTATCACCTCTCTATCGCACTTTGCGTGCCAATTGTTATCATTCTTATTTATGCATACACCATCTCCTGGCTCGCTGTAAAGACTGCTAACAGTGAGAATGAAAATTAAAGAAGGGTGGCAACCAAACCACGGCTAACTAAAAACTACAGTTGATATTGATCAGGGACCAGGAGTTCAGTGAAATACAAATAATCGTTAGAAGATCATGATAACAGGAGCGGTATGGAGGTACCATCACAGTCCAACGTCGAGACCTCTGGTCGGTTATCGTTGCTTGATCCCCGCACATCGGCACGTCTTCCTTACATCCCCTGTGTCCTGTTTCCTGTTTGTCTCCACATGTCTCTTAGTAGGATATGTTCTTAGTAAAAAAATAAAATTATTTCACAAGCTCCACATAATTATAGGTCCACCTCATGTGTTCTCCTCAATCCTGATAATGGCCCCTTGGCAAAATTTTGATTGATATAATAGTAACTTGAAGAGATCACTTGATATAAGCATGGTGTGTGTATTACTGTGTAGGGTTTTTCATGTAAAAATCAGAATAAATAAAATAGAACACGTACACTCTCCGTGGACGGTGTGCATGCACCGTTCTGACGCTCCTCGAACTGCAGCCGTTCCAGAATGGAGCGCACTAGGTCGGCCGAAGCCTTCTCCTTCGATACTTGATAGATCTCTGAAGACACCCATACAAACAAGGCGACAGTCGACCACAAATTATCAAAAAAATCAATTCAGGGTCGCTCATGAACACCAGTGCAGTAAAACCTGTGACTAACGACCACCCCTTGAGGCCAGAGAAAGCGGTCTTTAGTGGCAGGTGGTCCTTAGTTGGAGGTTTGCACCGCACAACCATAATGTGAATGTGAGACCGTCCGTGCCTGGCGCAGTGGTCTGTAGTACCAGGCTGGTCCCTAGTCACGGTGGTCTTTAGTTACAGGTTTTACTGTAGTACCAGGCTGGTCCCTAGTCACGGTGGTCTTTAGTTACAGGTTTTACTGTAGTACCAGCCTGGTCGCTAGTCACGGTGGTCTTTAGTTACAGGTTTTACTGTAGTACCAGGCTGGTCGCTAGTCACGGTGGTCTTTAGTTACAGGTTTTACTGTAGTACCAGGCTGGTCCCTAGTCACGGTGGTCTTTAGTTACAGGTTTTACTGTAGTACCAGCCTGGTCCCTAGTCACGGTGGTCTTTAGTTACAGGTTTTACTGTAGTAGCAGGCTGGTCCCTAGTCACGGTGGTCTTTAGTTACAGGTTTTACTGTAGTACCAGGCTGGTCCCTAGTCACGGTGGTCTTTAGTTACAGGTTTTACTGTAGTACCAGGCTGGTTGCTAGTCACGGTGGTCTTTAGTTACAGGTTTTACTGTAGTAGCAGGCTGGTCGCTAGTCACGGTGGTCTTTAGATACAGGTTTTACTGTAGTACCAGGCTGGTCCCTAGTCACGGTGGTCTTTAGTTACAGGTTTTACTGTAGTACCAGGCTGGTTGCTAGTCACGGTGGTCTTTAGTTACAGGTTTTACTGTAGTACCAGGCTGGTCGCTAGTCACGGTGGTCTTTAGTTACAGGTTTTACTGTAGTACCAGGCTGGTCCCTAGTCACGGTGGTCTTTAGTTACAGGTTTTACTGTAGTACCAGGCTGGTCGCTAGTCACGGTGGTCTTTAGTTACAGGTTGTACTGTAAATAGTAGCACCATCAACTAGGCACCAGTCACGAACTCATGGTGGTGACGAGAGGGAGACTGGGTGGATATACAAGACATGACTGAACTTATGCTTTCATGGGAAAGTTGCTTGCTCCCCACAGCCAAGTCAGTGAAGTGTCAAGTCGGCGGGAAAGCACGAGCTCCGATGTGGGGAGCAAACACCTTCCCTACAACACAATGGAATATACAGTAAAACCTGTCAAGGCGACCGCTCGGATAAGGCGACCACCTGTCCTAGAAGACCACTGAAACCAGGACCAATGGATGCTATTTCCAGTGAAAATGACCCTGGATAAGAAGACCACCTGGTAACAGAGACCACATTTTAAGCGTCCCTTGAGCGGTCGTCTTAGTCAGGTTTCACTACACGTAATGTTTGTCCTTACCTCCACAGCGGATGATGCGCACGACGTCTCGGAATCCCTTCTCGTGCGCCAGCTGCAGCGCCGTCTTGCCGTCCTCGTTCTTGAAGTGCAGCTTGAGTCTCTTCTTGCTGTGCAGTAGCAGGTGCTCAATGCACCGGTAGTGACGGTAGTAGGCGGCCAGGTGCAGTGCTGTGAAGCGGCCCTCCGTCGTCGTCTCGTTGAACTGTGTGACATGCACACGGCAGCACAGTCACATGGCAGAGTGTACAGCCGGATGTACACAGACATAAGTACAAGATGTCCACATATCCGAAATCAAAGTCTTCTATAAACAATATGTACACGGGAAACTGTTAGGGTTGCACCAGTCTTACACTTAGGTATGCGCACATGCAGGCACACGCGCGCGCACACACACACACACACACACACACACACACACACACACACACGCGCGCGCGCGCGCGTGCGCGCATGCGCACGCACACACGCGCGCACGCACGCGCGCACACACACACACACATACTCACGCACACACACACACAGACCTGGGCATCGCCGGCACCTTAAGTGCAATCATTCCTTTGGGTTTCGTTGTTCTCTGTGATCACTTAGCACTTCGATATCGAGAAATTCAAATGATCAGTCATGTGTAAACATATGCACAGGAAATGTTTTTCGTAAGCGGATGTGGCTGATTAGAATGATTGGAAAAGATAGGAGTATTGTCTGATCGATTATTTCACCGTACCTCAACGCCATAATTGAGCAATTCCAGGCAGACTTGGGGTCTGTCCATGCGGCATGCTTCGTGTAGCGCGGTCAGACCGTAGCTGCCTTTGCGTTTGTCCACTTGCGGAGCGTGCTTGCGCAGTAGCTTTCGCAGCTCCTCCACCTTGCCTTCGCGGCACAGCCAATGCAAATCAGCACGTGGCTTGCTGTTGGCGGACTGAGAGCCTCCCGGAGCGGCACTCGACGCTCCATGCTGGCCGTACCGTCGACCCGCCGCATCGTTACCGCCCGACATGTCCCGAGAGTGTTCGCTAATAATAACAGCCTACGTTAGGGCTAGAAGCGAACACAATTCTAACCGATGTAGTCACAGGTGCTCCTCTCCCTTCCATGTAACTTGTTCATACATCCTTCCTCCATGACCCACAGTAATAAAACAAGGGAACATAATCATCACAATCATGTCCGAAATTCTGATCTCCTAAAAAGTAGGCAGTCGAGTAGGCAGAGCATCGACTGCGCGGCGCGTGACCTGTCAAAACGACAAAAACTCAATGCACCAGATCCAGACCAGAGCCTTCAGTCTCTTCAGTACAGTACCAACTACCAACTATACACAGTAACTACTACTACTACATGTAGTAGATCTACCATCATTGCATCAAGAGATAAACTCTTGGCAGTCTTGCAGTCTTGAAGTTGACTCTTGCCTCTCTCTCTTGGTCAAACACCATGCATCATGAGATCTACCAAGTACCAGGCGCCGCGGGCGCAGCACTAGCACAACATTCGTGTTATGTAGTTACCTGCGCGTATTCATGAGGAGTTTGAATGGGAGGTCGAAGTACAGATCACTAATCACTAATACCAAGAGTAACGGTTTATGTACTTTAGTCTTGCTAATACTAATAAGACAGTCACTAGTTCACTGACAGTCTGTACTTACAAGTACTGTACTAGCACTTTTTGAAGAACATGTACGTCATTATGATGTAGCTTTGTTGTGTAGTATCCCTGCTTTATGGTTTACACATGACTAGTACTTTGCATGACTCTTATAATTACTCTTGTTACTACTTTCGGACAAGTCCTACATCATGTACCTCATAGCTCACACATAACTTGATTACATCAGGAGTACCGCGCTTCTAGAAGATCATAGATCTTCCATGCATGCTGCTGTCATCACTTCTAGTATCACTTCCTTTTAGTTACTAGTTGGTACAGTCATGACTCATGTGCATGTATGTCATGTTGTTCCGGACTATTCCAGACCTTCCACGTCATATGCCCGATGAGTAATGTTGCTGACTAAATTGCATAATATAGATATCTCATCTTCTAGAATACCTCGCTTAGTCACTATGTTAATGTTACGCAATGCTCACTTCGTCTACGTGTATAACGTTAGCAATGATGATCTAGGTTTGCCTTCTCCACTATTCTAGAACTTGTACTAGAAGGATGATTTCGTAATCACTGCAATGGCTTACTAACCTTACTTTCCTACCGCCGCCTGCTTTGCTATACATACTTTGCTTGCCTATAAAAGCTGCTGTCTTTTCTGCCACCATCAGATTAGCTCAGATTAGAGCTGAGCTGAGAGCAGAGATCAGAGAGAGAGCAAGTTCGCTTTCACTTTGATATAAGATAACCTCCAGGCCGTGCCGGAGTAAGTTCTGATACGTTACTGTAGTTGACTGACTGTGGGTAGTAGCCTCCTAGCCTCGCCGACGCACGTTACATTGGTGCCAGCGGTGGGATACGTTACATTGATGGCAGCGGTGGTTCAATTTTATAATTGCTAGATTCGAACCCATCTAGTATCTGTACTGCAATGATGGCAGCCGCGCTACAGAATTGATGGCAGCGGTAAATTGTTTTATTGGTGTAACCGGTACCAGCATGGGCCAATCTGATGCGTCAGTCGCCGCTACTCCTTCGCCCGCCATGTCTCCCCCTAGCCTGAAATGATGACAGACAGCGTCTCTACCGATCAAGCTCCATGTCCAACGTAAGCTAATTCCAGGTATGGCATTCTCTTTCCTGTCTTCCTTCAGTCCTTCTATTCTCTTCAGTCTTCCTTTATGCGAGTGAGTGAATCCAGTTTAGTCCGGTAGGCGTCCGATCATGGTGAGCCACGGTCTACCTAGCTAACCTGGGACAATGTGTGTGAGAATGCCCTTGTGTACTCAGTTCGGCTTGGTACTGCGATTTGGCTGGCAGGTTGTGCCAGGGTTGTGCAGCAAGTGAACTGTGGTTTTTCGGTCCTGTTTGGAGGACAATATTCCCTTTTTGACCCCGTGAGATGGTGAGAACCTGGTGTGCTTCTATTTTTGATTTGTTATCAGTTCAGTTCTTCTGTCTACTCTAAAACGTTATCATTTCCGATATTATTTGCCATATTCCGGTTGACGCTCTACAAGTAATACGCTATCTACTATGACGTTCACACCGCCTCCTATGATCTGCTGCTGAGCTCGAGCTACTACTACTACTAGTACTGTCAGTTGTCACCCTTTCGTCCGAATATCAAGCACTCTGTTCAAGATTCAAGAATACATGTACGTGAATGCAAGTTAGTTGTCCAGTCCACCTACTGACGGTGCCTTCTAGTTCTAGTGAGTACTGTTCATCATACATCATCGAACTCTCTGTCAAATCACGAGGGCGTGATTTAGTGTAGGAAGGGAGGGTGTAGTATCCCTGCTTTATGGTTTACACATGACTAGTACTTTGCATGACTCTTATAATTACTCTTGTTACTACTTTCGGACAAGTCCTACATCATGTACCTCATACTCAGTCATAGCTCACACATAACTTGATTACATCAGGAGTACCGCGCTTCTAGAAGATCATAGATCTTCCATGCATGCTGCTGTCATCACTTCTAGTATCACTTCCTTTTAGTTACTAGTTGGTACAGTCATGACTCATGTGCATGTATGTCATGTTGTTCCGGACTATTCCAGACCTTCCACGTCATATGCCCGATGAGTAATGTTGCTGACTAAATTGCATAATATAGATATCTCATCTTCTAGAATACCTCGCTTAGTCACTATGTTAATGTTACGCAATGCTCACTTCGTCTACGTGTATAACGTTAGCAATGATGATCTAGGTTTGCCTTCTCCACTATTCTAGAACTTGTACTAGAAGGATGATTTCGTAATCACTGCAATGGCTTACTAACCTTACTTTCCTACCGCCGCCTGCTTTGCTATACATACTTTGCTTGCCTATAAAAGCTGCTGTCTTTTCTGCCACCATCAGATTAGCTCAGATTAGAGCTGAGCTGAGAGCAGAGATCAGAGAGAGAGCAAGTTCGCTTTCACTTTGATATAAGATAACCTCCAGGCCGTGCCGGAGTAAGTTCTGATACGTTACTGTAGTTGACTGACTGTGGGTAGTAGCCTCCTAGCCTCGCCGACGCACGTTACATTGGTGCCAGCGGTGGGATACGTTACAGTTGTATACGATCATGACCATGGTATCCCATGGTACTTTATACAAAAAGAGCTACAACACTGTAGTGTAGGGAATCGAAAACAGGCATACATGTATATAAAAGCCCAATAACAATGAGCCCACTGGGGCATGAAAATGTCTGGAGCCGTGAAGGATTCGATAAGACTTGAGTCTTCCAACTTTCCAACTCCCTCCGCGCTGGCCACAGTCCCTCCGGCCGATCTCATTCACCACACCGGCAACAAACTGACTCAATGTCCAATATCAGCCCCGTCACATACCGTAGCCGTTCCTATCACACAGATCTTGTCACTAAAGGACGATGAGGAAAAGAAAATAGCTGAAAATTCAGAGTCTCCAAAGAATGATGATAACCAAAATATGCAACAACTGTCTAGCAGATTGAGTACGGAGCACTGACCATGGTGGTAAGTGATAAGAAGTTTTAAATGTGTTCTTTTTCTTGTCGTAAATAGCTAAAAAAATTGAATGAAAAAGTTATACGGTAAAAATCAGCGTTCAGCAAACCTACAACTACAAGATGTCACACCTAGGAGGTATGGATGGCACGTTGACACCCGACCAGCGGGGTACGAGCAGTCCTAACCATAAATACGCATAGAACATATCTGCAACATCAGGTGATAGAGAAGCTGACTGCGCTTCATATCAACGTGCACGGTGGCAAACAAATCATGAAGCAAACCCTCCATGAGAAAACACCAATAGAGAGTGTACAATTCGTCTGATGAGTGGTTATGAACACGAAACTCAGAGTGACGAGAAAGATTTCCGGTCCCTGTTGTTCTGCTTGTGTTGTTGAGAGTGTACAATATGTAACAAGCTCTGGCAAAATGTTTGAGGGTTTTAGTGTGCACTACTGGAACCAGGCTAAACACAACAGTCCAGCGCTTGAATTTGCACGTGCGAGAGAGAGAGAGAGAGAGAGAGAGAGAGAGAGAGAGAGAGAGAGAGAGAGAGAGAGAGAGAGAGAGAGAGAGAGAGAGAGAGAGAGAGATAGAGAGAGATTCAGAGAGAGGGAGACAGACAGACAGACAGACTTAGCTGTTCCGGCTAAGTTTCCGGAACTCCGATTCAGTAGGAATAAGTTAGCAGATGAAACGAATCATCAGACGCCTATCTTGCGCAGTACCTCCGTCAGGAAGAGAACAGGACCAAGGCGCTCCAGCTCGTCCGCGCCCATTCTCATCTGCGTGAGATACGAACAGGCCGCCTGCAAGCGCTTGCTGCCCATGCCCCTAAGTCGTCGCGTTTTGCGACTCAGCGACTGCAGCAGAGCGGCGTTCAGGCAGTAGCCGTAGAACGGGTAGCGCCGCGCAGGCTGGAACGTCTCGGTCACGTGACCGCCGCGTCGGTAGATCTGCAGGGCGCCGCACGGCGTGTGCGCTACGACGGTGGGTCTGGTGGAGCGCAGCAGTACTGTGAGCAAATCAGACCTCAATACCGGCATGAACGCCGCCGAAGTCGGCATGTCGCCGTGGCAGCTCGTCAGCGTCTTGTTCGCCTGCTCTGCCACAGTCGGCGCGTGGTCCACGCACACAAACGACTTCTTGCCCGCGCTGGTCAGTTCGCGACGATAGAGCTCGAGCAGATGCTCAAATTCGCCGCACAGGTCGCAGCATATCGGAGACATGGTGTCCGCCTCACAGCGTGTGTGAACACCCGTCAGTCTGAACGACGGTCGGAATATCCGTTCAAGAGACACACCGCCGTCGCCATCTCCGCCGTTGCCCTCGGCAATCTCCCACGACTCGTCCACCAGCACCCTGGCAGTGGCGACCTGCATGCGCTCAATCCCAAAGTCGCCGTCTGACGGACCATTGGAAAGCGATGTGTGGGCATTGAGCTTTGCAACACGCAGCGCCTGCTCCATGCCCTGTCTAGACTTGGTGAGAATAGCCTCACTGCTCGTTCCTCTCCGGGGCAACTTCAGTACGAGATGTAACACATCTTGGCCGGCGGGTGAAGTACCCACGGTCTCATCGTCTGTTGCCCGGTCGTCCTGTCCCACATGCTGAACATTCTGCAACACGTCCGCGTGCACTGCATCCAGG